AACAAAATTTAACCATTAGTATGTTTAATGTTTAATTGTGTAAATAAACAAACACAGTAAAGTTTTGCATGTAAAAAAAATAATGATTTGTTATACAGTAATGATTTAAAACAAATTTTATTGATATTTTATTTATTTATTTATTTAATTTAAAAAAAACGAATTTATTTAATTAAAAATAATTAAAATATTAAAGATATGTTTAATATTGCTATTACTTAGTAAACAATTGAAAAGGGTAAAATAGTCTTTTGTTCATTTATCCTATCCAGTCCGTCCAACCAAACGTTGGATTCACTGAAAATAGTCTTATCCAGACATCTAATCCCATGAAAAAACAAACACAGGATACATATCCAATCCCACCAAATAGTCCGGGGGATTCACAGTCCCAGGACTCAAGTCCGATGGATTCTAATCCCCCATTTTCCAGTCCGTCCAATCAAACACACCCTGAGGGTTATAACCCCTCTGTCTCCTGCCATCACCCTGACCCTCCTGGCCCCACTTGGAGCCTCTATGTCTCTCCTCGTCTTCCTCCTGCATCATGAGCTCTATATGAGCTGCAGCATCCACTAAATGTCTATACTCTCGGATGTAAGACCTACCAACCTTCAACTTGAGGCCCCGCCTCAACTTCCGCTCAAACTCATAGCAACGGCGTTCTTCGAACGCCACCAACTTAGGTGCAAACCTAGACAAACTAGTGAAAGTGGCCTCGAACTCTGCCACAGACATACCCTACTGATTAAGCCGGCTAAACTGATCCCTCAGCTTCTCCCTAGCCACTGTAGATAAGAACCTCTCTTGAAAAGCATTTACAAACGCCTCCCATGTACCTCCAACACGAGCCTCCTTGTACTTCCACCATTGACCCGCATCTCCCTTCAGCTGGAAGGATGCCAAGGTCACTTTCAGTGCCCCGTCCTCGATGCCAAGCATCTCGAACGTCTTACTCATTTATTCCAACCACTCGTCAGCCTTCAGTGGTTCCTTTGGATCCCCAACAAACTCATCCGGGTTAGACCGGAAGAACTCCCTCTTCAAGAAAGAAGGCCCTGCCTCAGCTGCCTGATTCCCAGCTCTGAGAATACCCAAAGCTCCTGCTATCTCTCGTGCCAAGGCACTCATAGCCTGCTGACCCGCTGGCTCGGCCACATTGGCCTGACCAACTCCCTCCTGCACTGCCGGAACCTCCTCCGGTAAAGGCATCTCCTGCCTACCACGTCTGCCACGCCTACCGCGTCCTCGTCCTGACATCCTAATAAAAGTAACCAAGACTATTAGCACATTCATAAATGTGCCGAAGTTATAACACTCCCGTCCTAATGCATGGACAACTGTAATTCATTCCACGTAAGCACATAAACACATAAGCACTTACAAATTTCATTTCCGGATAATGATAGTCCCGAGGCGTTACTAGAGTTCCGGTTAGAAACAGCATTGATCAAGTGCTTTTCCAACAAGACTCACAGAAACCCAAGGATCCAATCAACATCCTAGAAACTAAATCCCATACCCACATAGTCACATAAGCATGTTATCAATTAAGCACATAGCATATGACACTACATCTAAGTCTCTATCAAGCGAGACAAACCAATAAGGCACCATCTTTCTTTTTAGCAAAGAGGGCCGGTGCTCCCCACGGTGAAACATTGTGATCCTAATCACTTCCACGTACCCAAAGTATTCGAACCCGGTACGCTCTGAACCAAGTTGTAACGCCCTCAAAATAACAACATTAACCCATCAAATTAAGACTGCATTGATATATAAAAGTTCCACATTCTTTTATTCATCAGAGTCCCATAAATCAAAAGTAATTACATGTTAACAATAAAACACAATGCCCTAGAGGCTTACAGCTTTCCAAGTTAACACTTGGTTACTAACAAAGAGTGCTAAACTCATTACAACATTAAGCCCTTGGCTTGAATATACATGTTAATACATCAAAGAAATAAACAAACAAAAGTCCGCCTGGCTCTAGACCTCCCAAGCTACGTCCTTGGGGTGGCATGCTACCTGTACCTGAAAATGATATTCCATATGGGTGAGCCACAGCCCAGTAGAAAATATACTTAAACCAAATATGAACAATGACTAAAAAAGATTAGCAGTTGATAGATGGCCAACACAGATACTTTCCCTTATCACACTTTAACGATTTCATGACATACAAGTCCATATTACAGTCCATTTTCCATTTCTTTCAAATTCTCAATTTATAACCATGGCTCAGAAACCTGGCCAAACAACATCATATGAGACAGTACTTCATATCAAGCACTTCCCATTTCAATACACGATAAGCATACTAGCTATATCACATACCAACAGATAAGCATACAAGCTATATCATCACTTCCACAGATATGCATATGAGCACTATCACACTTCCAATGACAAGCATATGAGCTATGTCAACACATTAATAGATAAGTATATGAGCTCATCTATGGAGTCCATCCCCTATCTCCTCCCAACACATCCGGTTTAGAGATCCATCCCCTATCTTCCCCTAAAACCGTGGAGTACATCCTCTATCTCTTCCAACACAATACAATGCATATAAACAACAATTATACACATTATCACACAACAACATAAATTTAATGTATTTCTTTCAATCGTCAATCTCAATGACAACATTTCCAGTGATTAGTTTCAATTGCCTAATCATCATGCATTGTCTACAACAATCAAGACTATCCTCACCGATAGCCCAAAGTAGTTATTTTCTATATAGAAAAATAAATGCAAACAATGGATATATAATCAACATTCTAACTAGGTGAGTGACAAATAATCCAACTACACCCTTTAATCCCATGTTCTTCCCAAATCAATTCCTCATTTCTCATAATTAATTATGCAATTTAATTAAACCAATGTAATTAGGGCATTTTTCATAATTTACATTACAACCCTTAGGTTCCATTTTCATTAATGTCTTAACATTAATTTCACATTTCCATTTCAAACATGCATCTAGGTTTTACATAGCTAAAACCCCAACTCTTGTAAATTTACACAAAAGTCCCAAACTTTCACAAAAATACCAACCAACCCAACATCTCAAAATACTAAAATTTAAAGACAAAGCTCATAAAGAGGAGGATATCCCTACCTCGAAGTTAGAGCTCTGATGGAGAAGAGACCAAACCAAAGTGCTCCAAAGACCAAGATCTCGGATCAAAAACGACGCCCTCGACGATCAACACAACTTTTACAAAAGCCGAAGAGAAGGAGGACACTCTAACTAGATCAAACCCTAGAGAGAAGGGGAGTATCTAGAGAGAGAGGCTCTCAAAAAGGGGTTTTAGAAAAAAGTAGGAGAGAGAAAGAAAAGCAAAAAGTGATTTGAAATCACCCAGCGGATAACTCATATACGTATGACCCGCTCGAGCGGAGAACACGAACGCTCGAGCGCAAGAACAAAAATCTGGACACGCTCGAGCGAGCGAATAAGGCCCGCTCTAGCGCCAAGACACAAGAATAAAGCACTTCCGCTCGAGCGTAGATTTCCACCTCCCAGAACTTACACCCAGAAAGCACTACTCGCTCGAGCGCAGAAAACCGGGCTCGAGCGCTACCGCTCGAGCGTAAACACACCAGGTGTGTAATCCCCGCTCGAGCGCAAGAAGACCCGCTCGAGCGGAACGCCTAAAAACTGAACAACAAGGAATTGAAACCAAGGCCTAACCAACATGTAATAACCCTGTTCAAAACATCCTAAAACTCAATCAAGTGGAATTAAAGGATGACAACAAGATAGATACCACTACCAACTTCACGGAACCGAGTCCGGAATACAACATAACAGTAAAGGGATAACCGGGATCGCTATATACAAGATGTATAGTACATGCCCAGATGATTGGGACCTCGCTCAGAAGCTTGTAGTCAGTGGTTGTGAAACAATACCCAGAAGAAGGTGCTTCTCAAGATCACCTCAACAATGCAACAAACTGCTTCCTGCGAAAACCTCTCTCTGGACTCAACCTAGTGATGTCGAACATTTTATGGAACCACTACAAATGCAAAGACTATACCTGTCTTGTTTCAAATGAAATGATTGACAGAAGAGGCTTCTACAAATTCTATGATTGCTTCGATCTTTCAAGGCGAGGATGGGAAGTGCCAACCAATGAGTCTCTCTCGGCAGAGTTCACAATCGATGAGGTTTTGAGTCTAAAGCCAGGGGAGATCCGCGTTGGGCTGGATTTCAGCCCAACAACTGGCACATTTGCTGCAATTATGAGAGAGAAAAATGATACCGTTGCTTTGGCCACGCTGAATTTAGGGGCACCTTTTAATGAGGTGATAGCACAGGACTTCTTCCTCTGTACGTCTCAATTGGCTCGAGACTGCCTTTCTTTGACAACACACTTGACATTGTTCATTCTACTCAGTTCTTGGATGGATGGATTGGAATTGAACTCCTTCAGTTTGTCCTGTTTGATTGGGACTGTGTGCTCTGGCCTAAAGGTATTCTCTGGGTGGACCGGTTCTTTTGTAAGAAGGAAGATATGAATCTGTACTTGAATGAGTTCACCAGACTTGGCTATCAAAAGCTGCTGTGGAGGGTGGTGCCAAAAACTGATAAAGATGGTGATGAGATGTTTTTCTCTGCTGTTCTGGAAAAGCCAACAAGACGTTAGACTCACTAGTGTCTCTCCAGCCATACTCTCTGTAACTGAAGGTATACGAAAACATTTTCACATCCTAAAAAAGTGATTCGGGACTTTTATTTTCCTTCTCTTTTTCCTTCCAATTGGGAAGATTTCATGTCAAGTGCTAACTAACTAATCTGCTAGTCTCTTGGTACAAAAACTTGTGAATGAACTGAGCATCTAAATTACAAGTAGGGAGATTTTGACCAGCATATCTCTCCCTCATTTGATACGTTAACCTTGTATCAACCAATAATCATTATTCCGGGCGATGTAATCTATGAAACAGAAAACAACCAAAAGGGGAACACAACAGAGGAATATAAAATGAAATTCTTTGATTTAAGAATACACAAATTACAGATACAAATCGGTTCAATTATAGCCCAAGAATGCAATAAGAAATGAGCTAAAAATAATTATAGATTGATCTTACAAGGCCTTCCAGGAAATCAGGAAGTAATCCAGTTTTAATAGGTATGAAGGTCACTACCCAGTCAATTTAACAAGGGTTACAATTTGTTGACACTGTTTATCTGTGTGGATGCCCGCATAACCATTCCTGTAAATACTGAGCAAAACTATCTTCTTTAACGTATGAAATCCCAGTTAACTGCAAACCAATTCTCTGTTGTTGAAGGGTAAATCTATTGATCTTTCACACACAAGCATTCTGTACAAAAAAGAAGAATAAACACAATTAATCAAACCGATTGAGCATAATTATAAGCAGGGAACAAAGGGTAACTCATAGGTTTAAACTTTCCAATCGAATAATTCACAATGATCAAATCCACAAATGTTTTAGCAATCTCATCATTCTGCATAATAATAACAACAACAAATATGATGCTATATAATAACAGTGTGAAAGAAGAGTCCCTACTCAAATATTCATAGGAAAGTATCATCGAGGTTCCCCATGCCGACATCGGGAAAAACCTTGGACCGAGCCCTCCGTATGAACCTTTCCAGCCATCATCCACAATTAATCCTTTAACAACTTCTCCTAGAGTATGTTTCTTTTCGGGTCCCATGACCTATATTGCAAAAACAACTAGTTTAATGGATAAATCAACAAAAGAAGCTATTTGCTCGAACATAGTAGTGCAAGCAGCAAGCTGTAAAATCATGTGAAAACCCTGAGGTTTTTTCTGGAACACCTACCAATTGTATTAACAAGGAATTGAAACAGATGCACGAGTTGGGTATTTCTAATAATTTTGAATGTAACAATCTTTGAGTGTTAACTATTATGTGCATGACAATCGCTCTACTTTCTTTCACTAAAAAATGTGTAACTCACAGAACAACACGTCATGAACAAACAAAAAAAAAATAAAAAAAAGTGAAAAATTCACTGTCCTAATAGCACCTAAAAATAAATAAATAATCACTACTTCATCACTAAGTATCAGAACTGACAAGAGAAAGCAAAAAAATTGAAGCCAACTAGGTGTACCTGTAAGCGAGTCTTAATAATGTCCAATGGCGTTGTGATGCAGGATGCCGCGGCACCAGCAAATATCCCTCCAGCAGCTTGAACAGACACTATCGTCCACAGGCTAGGAGCAGATTCTTCATGCTCAGTACTACCATGCCCAATGATTTAGTATCAGAAGGAACAAAATGTTAAAAAATGCATTCCAATATAAAGATGCTCTCTCCCGATGAAAATTGTTCAATTTTGGAGTTAATTCAACTTAAACCACAACTTCTAGTGAAATTGGGAAGAAAATAAGTGTAAATCACTTCAAGTGAAAGGAATTTCCAAAATGACATGAAAATTCTCAGTAGGAAGCCGATGAGAACTTGAACAACTAAATGTTGTTATGCATAAAAAAATTTAAAAATTCTATTGCACCCTTTTGTGTTCCGTTTTCTTTATTTACACACCGCACCCAAGAGATGATAACTTTCAAATAAGAACATGGTTGACACATCACATCAATCGGAAGAAATACGGCCTGAGAACAAACTACTGCTGCTGCCATGCCGGCAACTCCATTTGCTATGGCTGCCTGTGTCGGTTCGGACAATTTGAATGGCTCCACCAACCTGAAAGTAGCCGCTTTTGTGGTCTCTGAAGCAGTAAGGAATATAATCCTAGTAGGAATGGCACCAGTGACGACTGTGAGGCCCGCCGGCAGGAGCTGTTGGGCGTGGAGTGGGGGGCTTCTGCTTCAGGTTCGCTTTTTGTGTTCTGTTTTTGGTTGCACCAAAACGACATCGTCTACGATATGCACTGCACACTACATACCTAGCACCTACAGAGGATCTGGCCTTCGGAAAAAAAAAAAATAATAATGCAAACAACAATGATAGAGACCACTAATTTTGGAACTCTAAAAGACCACTAATGACATGGCACTCAATAAAAAAAGAAAAAAAATACAACACCAAAGTCAAAACATCAAATCATTCCTGGTGGGACCCACTGCCACATCATTAGTGATAGCACTAATTAGTGCTCTCACTCATTTTCCTAATGCAAATTCATGCATGACCATTCATTTCTAATCCAAAAAGGTACAAGACTTTTTTCCATGCCATAAATTAAGGACGCAATTCCCGATAAAAACAAAAAAGGACGTAATTTGGGAGGGTTCAATGCGAGCAAATTAAGCTCACTCTGAAAATTTTTTAGAATTTGGATAAGATATTTTTTAATTCAGTATGAGTTTAGATAAAAATGTAGAAGTCCGAATTAAATTTGGGTGGATTTAAATAAAGATATCAAACAACCCGAAACCCGAATTATACATATATAGATATATAAAATATTAAATATACATATAAATTATTAGTCATTACATGATATTAAAGTAATTAGATTATTAAATCATATTTGTATGTAACATAAAATCTTATTTTTTTTATTTTTACTCATAAATTGTAACTACTATGGCGACATATCTCTTATATTATATAAATTATTTGTTTTGATAGTATTAATGATTTTCTATTAAAAAAATTGTAAATAGAGTCAAATTTTAATAGTTTAATAATGCAGCTGCCAAAAAAAAAAATGAAATTTATTTACAATTCGGGTAATTTGGGTTTAACTCAGGTCGGGCTTAGGCAGGCAACCTTAGGTTACAATTCGGACCTTGGCGGGCTTGAGCAGGTCTCAACACAACTTGGACTGAGTTTAGACAACCTTCTAACCCGACCCAACCTACCCGAGTTACACCCCAACTTTAAATGCCAGTTTGAGTTTTGTCCAAACAAAAACCAAGAAATTGATATCTAAATTCGAGAGAAGAGAAGAAGCCCAAAAGGGAGGGAGTGATGAAAACTGAAATGAATATCAAACCATACCACCTCCGTTTCTCTTTTGTCCTGCTTTTGATGATTTTGCTCCATTTTCTGTATATGTGGGGCAGCTTTGGCTACAATGAGCAACTGAATGATCTCTGGTGATCGGTGCAATGCCACAATTTCCGAATGCTTAGAAGATGATGGAGAAGGAAAAAAAGAGTTATTGATGGAATCAGACAACTAGAAGGTTTCTTCCTTCTAAACCAAATTACATTCTGCCTGGCGCTTTATAGAAGCTTGCCATATGTGATGCAGGAAAATACGACAATTGCATCGGGCTAAGCCAATCATTATAAACGGCCTTGTGCCATCTACAATCGATGCAAACATAGTCCCAAATGAATTGATGAAGCCAAAATCACGTGATTCATGGAACAATGTGGAATGGGGAATTTCATGCCTCTTTTTCTTCTTGATTGATTTTTCTTGTTTTGTATGTGATCATAACAACCCCATTTCGTAGCTCGAAATGGCGTGGGTCGAAAGGTCCGAATTGCTTTGTACACCCACCCTTTTCTTTGTACACCCACCCTCCCTCTGTTCATCCCCTCCCTCTGGAAAACTCTCTCACACACACACACACAGAGCTCCGTTCATCCCCTCCCTTTGGTGTCATTTTTTTATTTTATTTTTTTTAGAAGAAGTAGAAAATCAGAGGAGGAGGAGGAAGAAAGGAGGAGGAGGAGGAGGGAAAGGGAGGGACTGGAGGGGGTCATAAATACAGGGGAGGAGGAGGAGGAGGAGGTGGAGACGGGTCGGAGGCGGAGGCAGCGACGGCAGCGACGGCGGCGCGAGCTACGACGAGGACGGCGGGCGAAGGCGGCGGAGGCGACGAGCTCCTCGCGGCGGAGGCACTGGCCCTTCCTCTCCTCTCTCTTTCTCCCTCTCTCCTCCTCTTCCCCTCTGTTCTCCTGTGTTCAACGAAGTTCAACGAAGAAGAAGAAGAAAATCGCAAAACGACGTGGTTTTCAAATTTCGAGCCATTCGACCCTCACCCATTTCGAGCTACCACCTATTTTTCTGAACATAAATAGTGTGTATGCCTTAAAATAACAGTGTGATTAAATGTAACAATCATCCTTGTTATCCCCTGTTGTATCATTGATTCCATTAAGAAGCATATGTATGAATGTTCTGCATCTTTCTTTTTTGAATATCAGGTAATAGAACCAATCCACCTTTTCTTCATTGATCTTGGAAATTCATATGCATCTACTAGTAATGTGCTTTGGTTGTACTCTCCAAGTTTAACAAAGTCATAATTTTAAGAGTTATGTACATAAAGACTTCTTAAATTATTGAGGAATATAATTTTAATCCCTTAAAGTATAAAAATGTACAAATTAAACCCTGTCCCTTAAACTATAAAAATCGTATAAATGAACTCCCTAAACCATTGATGTGTTTTACTTTAACCTCTTCCATTAGGGACCCCTAATCATTATATTGTAGGTGGTACATTGCTATTCTAATCTAAAAATTAGATTCACTTTTCAAACACAATAATGTGACAATCAATAAAAATATTTAAGACAACTCTCTCTATTATATATTTGCTAATCATTAGTCAATCATGTCTCTTATACATCATTAGGTTTAGAAAGTAAGTTGATATATCATTTCTTTTTAAATATATCATTTATTTTTTTAAAAAATAAATATAATAAAATTAAAAAGATATGATTATTGGATCAATTAAAATTTTTTTTTTAATGATGCATAATGATCTACATTTAAAACTTGACAAAGTGTTCTGCCCGTTGGCTTCAGGGGTATTCACGTTTGGCAATATGCTAGCTCTGACCGAGTCTTTGGGGATGATTCTGTACTACAGTTTGGGGGCGGCGGAGTGAAATACTTATAGACAACTTCACTATCGAGGAAAATGCTAACGCAGGGTGCCTTCGTAGGCTAATAAGCAGCCTCAGCATCTTGGACGAAGCAAGTGATAAACAGTGCCGTATATTGAGAGGGACGTGGATTCTTGCTCGATAGTTAGGGTAATGGAAAGTTATATCGTGTATGGCTTTAATGGCGGTTTGGGAAGTGGTCCCATTGTTTCTTAACTGGAGTCTCTGTAACTGGAGGCTGCTGCTTTGTGAGGTAATGGCAGGAGATCAAATTTGAATTCCCAAGGGCAATAGGATAGAGCTTACTTGGTACATATCAAGTTTAGATTACCCCCGTGTTGTCTACACTTTAATTGAATTGCAATTAATACGTCGCGGCCAATCTGCCTTACTAAAGAGATATGAAGCCCGATATTACAAAAATTCTATTGTCTTATAGTTTATTTTGGTAATAGGATACATACTACTATCTTATGTATGGATGACAAGTATGTTTGAAATACCACTTTCCCTTTTTGGGAGCTGACTTCACGCTTTTGATTTTATAGGCTCAAAGAATCATCAAACGGGTCCCAGAAGGCAAGAGAATATGGCTTATCAGTTTGGTGAACAGATGCTTCGCAAAGTGGCGGGAGCAGCCGCACATGCGGCCTGGCAGGATTTATCACAACAAGCCAAAAATGGCTTTAGATAAGTGTGGGTTAACTGAAGTTATATTCTATATTTTTTCAACCAATCAAACTCAATAGTGTTACATATATGGTATGATGTCATATGAAGGACAGCAATACTTTTAAACATGAAATAATTCTATTCACATCCTTGAGGCATTCCATTCCAAGTATTGGACTCCAAAATACTTATAATCTCAAACGATAGACAAGATTATGAATTAGAACAAGTAAATAAGGTGCCATAGCCATGGTTTGGGGTTTAAAACTCATTTCATGGCGAGAATTCCTCTTTAAGCCCTTTAAGAAACCAATAAAACCCTCAAGAAATTAGTTTGGTAAACATAAATTTATAATGTTTATGGGACAATGGATTTCAACATCTATTGCTTGAAAACAAAAACCCTTACATGATAATCATAAATAAGCCAAGAACTCATTCTTTTAGTCTAATAATCTTCAAAAGATTTGTAGAGGGAGGGATTACTTAGCTTCACACCACAATATTCTTGTATAACCATGATGAATATTCAGCCTAATCCTTGTGATTTCTTGATTCATTTTAGCTCAAGGTTTCTTCCTTCTTCTCTTGCTTCTTTCTCTTCGATCCTTTTCTTTTTCCTTAGATATTTTCTTGGCTCAAGGTTTAAGTTAACCACTTATAGCATACTATCTATATATATACAAATATAAGCTCAACACAAATAGAGGAAGGGTTCAAAAACCAGCCTTACGAAAATCGACAAAATTAATTAAAAATTAATTAAAAAAAAAAAATCTAACTCCCAGATGACTTAAAAAAAAATTGTGCTGATCATAGATATGTCCCCTGTCAGAGAGAGATATGACAATCGCTCTACTTTCTTTCACTAAAAAATGTGTAACTCACAGAACAACACGTCATGAACAACAAAAAAAAATAAAAAAAAGTGAAAAATTCACTGTCCTAATAGCACCTAAAAATAAATAAATAATCACTACTTCATCACTAAGTATCAGAACTGACAAGAGAAAGCAAAAAAATTGAAGCCAACTAGGTGTACCTGTAAGCGAGTCTTAATAATGTCCATGGCGTTGTGATGCAGGATGCCGCGGCACCAGCAAATATCCCTCCAGCAGCTTGAACAGACACTATCGTCCACAGGCTAGGAGCAGATTCTTCATGCTCAGTACTACCATGCCCAATGATTTAGTATCAGAAGGAACAAAATGTTAAAAAATGCATTCCAATATAAAGATGCTCTCTCCCGATGAAAATGTTCAATTTTGGAGTTAATTCAACTTAAACCACAACTTCTAGTGAAATTGGGAAGAAAATAAGTGTAAATCACTTCAAGTGAAAGGAATTTCCAAAATGACATGAAAATTCTCAGTAGGAAGCCGATGAGAACTTGAACAACTAAATGTTGTTATGCATAAAAAATTTAAAAAATTCTATTCACCCTTTTGTGTTCCGTTTTCTTTATTTACACACCGCACCCAAGAGATGATAACTTTCAAATAAGAACATGGTTGACACATCACATCAATCGGAAGAAATACGGCCTGAGAACAAACTACTGCTGCTGCCATGCCGGCAACTCCATTTGCTATGGCTGCCTGTGTCGGTTCGGACAATTTGAATGGCTCCCACAACCTGAAAGTAGCCGCTTTTGTGGTCTCTGAAGCAGTAAGGAATATAATCCTAGTAGGAATGGCCACCAGTGACGACTGTGAGGCCCGCCGGCAGGAGCTTTTGGGCCGTGGAGTGGGGGCTTCTGCTTCAGGTTCGCTTTTTGTGTTCTGTTTTGGTTGCACCAAAACACATCGTCTACGATATGCACTGCACACTACATACCTAGCACCTACAGAGGATCTGGCCTTCGGAAAAAAAAAAAATAATAATGCAAACAACAATGATAGAGACCACTAATTTTGGAACTCTAAAAGACCACTAATGACATGGCACTCAATAAAAAAAGAAAAAAAATCAACACCAAAGTCAAAACATCAAATCATTCCTGGTGGGACCCACTGCCACATCATTAGTGATAGCACTAATTAGTGCTCTCACTCATTTTCCTAATGCAAATTCATGCATGACCATTCATTTCTAATCCAAAAAGGTACAAGACTTTTTCCATGCCATAAATTAAGGACGCAATTCCCGAAAAAAACAAAAGGACGTAATTTGGGAGGGTTCAATGCGAGCAAATTAAGCTCACTCTGAAAATTTTTTAGAATTTGGATAAGATATTTTTTAATTCAGTATGAGTTTAGATAAAAATGTAGAAGTCCGAATTAAATTTGGGTGGGCTTAAATAAAGATATCAAACAACCCGAAACCCGAATTATACATATATAGATATATAAAAATTAAATATACATATAAATTATTAGTCATTACATGATATTAAAGTATTAGATTATTAAATCATATTTGTATGTAACATAAAATCTTATTTTTTTATTTTTACTCATAAATTGTAACTACTATGGCGACATATCTCTATATTATATAAATTATTTTGTTTTGATAGTATTAATGATTTTCTATTAAAAAAATTGTAAATAGAGTCAAATTTTAATAGTTTAATAATGCAGCTGCCAAAAAAAAAAATGAAATTTATTTACAATTCGGGTAATTTGGGTTTAACTCAGGTCGGGCTTAGGCAGGCAACCTTAGGTTACAATTCGGACCTTGGCGGGCTTGAGCAGGTCTCAACACAACTTGGACTGAGTTTAGACAACCTTCTAACCCGACCCAACCTACCCGAGTTACACCCCAACTTTAAATGCCAGTTTGAGTTTTGTCCAAACAAAAACCAAGAAATTGATATCTAAATTCGAGAGAAGAGAAGAAGCCCAAAAGGGAGGGAGTGATGAAAACTGAAATGAATATCAAACCATACCACCTCCGTTTCTCTTTTGTCCTGCTTTTGATGATTTTGCTCCATTTTCTGTATATGTGGGGCAGCTTTGGCTACAATGAGCAACTGAATGATCTCTGGTGATCGGTGCAATGCACAATTTCCGAATGCTTAGAAGATGATGGAGAAGGAAAAAAAGAGTTATTGATGGAATCAGCAACTAGAAGGTTTCTTCCTTCTAAACCAAATTACATTCTGCCTGGCGCTTTATAGAAGCTTGCCATATGTGATGCAGGAAAATACGACAAATTGCATCGGGCTAAGCCAATCATTATAAACGGCCTTGTGCCATCTACAATCGATGCAAACATAGTCCCAAATGAATTGATGAAGCCAAAATCACGTGATTCATGGAACAATGTGGAATGGGGAATTTCATGCCTCTTTTTCTTCTTGATTGATTTTTCTTGTTTTGTATGTGATCATAACAACCCCATTTCGTAGCTCGAAATGGCGTGGGTCGAAAGGTCCGAATTGCTTTGTACACCCACCTTTTCTTTGTACACCCACCCTCCCTCTGTTCATCCCTCCCTCTGGAAAACTCTCTCACACACACACACACAGAGCTCCGTTCATCCCCTCCCTTTGGTGTCATTTTTTTATTTTATTTTTTTTAGAAGAAGTAGAAAATCAGAGGAGGAGGAGGAAGAAAGGAGGAGGAGGAGGAGGGAAAGGAGGAGGAGGAGGAGGAAGGAGGGGAAGGACTGGAGAGGGCCCAATTATTAGGGCTGGAGGCGGAGGCACGATCGGGCGGAGGCGACGAGCTGCGAGCTGCAACGGCGGGCGGAGGTGACGAACGAGCTGCGAGCTACGATGAGGACGGCGGGCGGAGGCGACAAGCTCTTCTCTCCTCTCCTCTCTCTTTCTCCCTCTCTCCTCCTCTTCCCCTCTGTTCTCCTGTGTTCAACGAAGTTCAACGAAGAAGAAGAAGAAAATCGCAAAACGACGTGGTTTTCAAATTTCGAGCCATTCGACCCTCACCCATTTCGAGCACCACCTATTTTTCTGAACATAAATAGTGTGTATGCCTTAAAATAAACAGTGTGATTAAATGTAACAATCATCCTTGTTATCCCCTGTTGTATCATTGATTCCATTAAGAAGCATATGTATGAATGTTCTGCATCTTTCTTTTTTGAATATCAGGTAATAGAACAATCCACCTTTTCTTCATTGATCTTGGAAATTCATATGCATCTACTAGTAATGTGCTTTGGTTGTACTCTCCAAGTTTAACAAAGTCATAATTTTAAGAGTTATGTACATAAAGACTTCTTAAATTATTGAGGAATATAATTTTAATCCCTTAAAGTATAAAAATGTACAAATTAAACCCTGTCCCTTAAACTATAAAAATCGTATAAATGAACTCCCTAAACCATTGATGTGTTTTACTTTAACCTCTTCCATTAGGGACCCCTAATCATTATATTGTAGGTGGTACATTGCTATTCTAATCTAAAAATTAGATTCACTTTTCAAACACAATAATGTGACAATCAATAAAAATATTTAAGACAACTCTCTCTATTATATATTTGCTAATCATTAGTCAATCATGTCTCTTATACATCATTAGGTTTAGAAAGTAAGTTGATATATCATTTCTTTTTAAATATATCATTTATTTTTTTAAAAAATAATATAATAAAATTAAAAAGATATGATTATTGGATCAATTAAAATTTTTTTTTTAATGATCTACATTTAAAACTTGACAAAATAAATGTTTC